ACTATTAGAGAATTACTTAGAAGAAACGGTTATACAGATAAATTCATTGAGAAAAATATAAATTCAGCAGTAAGGAGAGTCAATATTGCAAAAGTTCCGATAAAACCACTGTTCATAAAACGGGAGAATAATGATACAGCGCCTAAAGAATGCAGTTAAAAGAGCTTATTATGCAGCAGAGGTACGTTGTTTCTTCACTACAACCCCTATTCTACTTTCAAGAAATAAGGATAAACTACCTAAATTTGCCTCCTCTTCTATGTGTATCTACGAGTTTGACTGAAGCTGTGGAGCCAGCTACATTGGGCGTACAATTAGGCAGGTTCATTATCGTATTTCCGAACATCATTCAGCATGGTTAAGCAAAGGACAAACAAGATCTATTCGTAGCTCTATTTTTGCCCACCTTGTAGATAGTCGGCATAAGGTTGACGTTAATCCAGCATTTAAAATTATTTATCGCATTCCGACTAATCTTAATTTTGCTCTACGAGTTCGTCTTCTACATACAACAGCTGAAGCAATAGGAATCTACCTGAAGAACAAGCCAAACCTGTGTGTTCAGAAGAAATTTGTACAGCCACTCTCCTTACCTTGGCCATCATTACATGAGTGTGTAAACCTGACTACTTAGCCCCCTCCCTCTAAACGTTTAAAATTATAAAAATTATAATTGTCCAAATTATTTTATTTATTTTGACCACTTCATCTTTAATTATGTGTTTTCCTTGTAAAATTAATTTATTCTAACCATTTCTACCTTTTAATTGTGTGTATTGATATTCTTCGTTAATTATCACCCCACTGACATTTTGACACTGACTAATTATTGTTAACAAACATATCAGTGCCACTACCTGATTGGTAAACTGTTGTGTATTGTAATAAAAATGCTATACGTGTCATATTAGAGTAGAGCCAGAATGAGATGAGGATCTAACTGGAAAGTAAATATTTCTTCGCTCGCTCAACCTTTCTGTTTTCTAAATGTCTAAACAGGGATTTTTTTTCTATACTGAAAAGGAATGCACATTTCTCCGCTTACTCTTTTATTTTGTCTTCTTTCAGGGACTGATATCGGATAGTTTGACGCGATTGGCTAATAGAACTACAATCACAAAATTTACTCATTTCTTCTACGTACATCTATTCATCCCCAGTCCCTTGCTCTTTGTGGAAATGCTTGCATTGGACGTTGTCAGCATTTTCTCCGGAAATGCATATCTGAACACTACTCGAAGGATTTGATGAAAGGCGATCATGAAATGATGAAGTCTTCCATCTGTAAATACCTTATTGAGTCTGACTATTCAGTCCCATTAGACCTCTCAAAAAGTTTAGATTTTCTTCATTTATGTTCATCGAAAGCTTCAGGTATACATGGGGAGAAACCTAAACTATGTATTTAAAAACGTTTTGTTAACTTTCTTTATTCTTCTTGGTCATATAAAGTTTCTTTTTTTAAATGTTACCCCCTGAATTCGTTCCAGTTCACTTCATCTTCTCCCTCCTTAATTTTTATCATTATTTTACTTTTAGTTTTTTCAGCAAGGCATTAAGAAGACAAATTTCGCGAGATGATATCGTCATTTCGTAGTTTCTTTACAACCGCTTTACAACTAACATGGTTAACAATGATAAAATAAAGATCATGAAAATTACTCCATTAAATAAAAAAAACAAAAGTATATACTAATGACCAATCATATTAAGATAGGTCATGCAGTCCAGGGTAGGCGAAGATTGAAGTCTATTGATCTCTGATTTAACTCCCTCTAGTAAAGGTAATCTGGACTGGTTTAAAGTTAAACTGGTGGACATTTCTCATCAATTTCTAAATGCTAGAATACACCAGAAAAATGGTTTATCAAAAGAACACCACGCCGCACTTAAGGAATTAATCGAAAAAGATAATCTTGTGATCCTTAAACCTGATAAGGGAGAAGGCGTTGTCATTGAACAAATCGGATTATCAAAATAAAATGAACGATATCCTCAAAGATCAGTCCAAATTTCTGCTGGACAATGCTACTGATAACGTGCTGCTTGTGGAAAAGCAGATCAATCGTCAGCTTCAGATTTTACTGATGCATGGTTTTATAAATGAAAAACTTTATAAACAACTTAAACCAATTGGGTCACATACTCCTCAGCTTTATGGTCTTCCGAAGATCCACAAAACTGGGAACCCACTGAGACCCATCTTAGACATGTCAAATTCTCCTTATCATAAAATCGCCAAATGGATTACAGAGGTCCTTACGCCTGTAAGAGACTCATTATCAAATCATTCTGTAAAAAGTTCATTTGATCTTACAGAAATGCTGGACACCTTGAACATTAAGGAAAAGGTTATGTGTTCAATTGACATAGAATCTTTATTCACCAATGTTCCCCTTCATGAAACTGTTGATTTTATTTGCGATTACATCACAAGCAATGGCATAAACTTACCCATTCCCGTCACTTACATCAAAGACATAATCTTAATGTGTACAGAAAATATTAGATTCACATTCCAAGAAAAGGCATATAAACAAATCGATGGTGTTGCGATGGGGAGCCCTCTGGGGCCCCTGTTAGCAGATATATTTATGTCGAAATTAGAGAAACAAATGCAAGGTATGCTTGGAGGATTTATGCTGTATAAACGTTATGTAGATGATACTCTTATTATTGGTAATAATAGTAAATCTATTGAAAACTTCATTACTCTATTTAATCATATTCATCCAAATATTCGAGTGACTTCCGAACTAGAATCGAATAACAAACTCGGTTTCCTGGATATTACTATGATTAGGAGAAATGATGGAACGATTCAGCGCTCTATTTTTCGTAAACAAACATGGACTGGACAATATCTTCATTTTACCAGTTTTGTTCCTATCCAGTATAAACGTTCCCTATAGTGAAATGTTTGTTCTCAAGGGCCCGAAAAATATGCACGAGTGACACACTGATGGATGAGCTTCGACATGTACATTCAGTTTTATTAGCTAATGGTTATCCGGAGAGCTTTATCACTTGTCACAGCAAAGAAAAACCACATCTCGAAAAGACAGCTTCTGTACCAAAGAAAGCCATCTTTATTAATCTACCATTCAAGGGCGACCAGATTATGCAGTTGACAACTCAAAGACTTCGATCAGCCATCAAACGCACATTCTACGCCGCATCTCTTTTTCTCACTTGCCGAACATTTTCGATCCCTGTTCCTACGATTAAAGGACGAAATTCTGTGGACTCTACTTCAAACTGTATCTACAAGTTCACCTGCAGCTGCGGTGACACCTATATAGGTAGAACTAACAGAATGTTCCAATGTCGTCGAAAAGAACATATTCCAAAATGGCTAGTAAATCATATCGAAAATCCCAACGCGATTAATCTTAATAGAAATCCAGCATCATCCATTGCAAAACACTTATTAATGTCTGGTCACAAAATAAATATTAATGACTGTTTCACAATTATTTCACATAACTCTAATTCAAGGTTATTGAAGGTGATGGAAGCACTTTGGATTAATCACATACAGCCTAAACTGTGTGTACAAAAATCAATAGACTTCAATCTTCGCCTACCCTGGACTGCATGACCTATCTTAATATGATTGGTCATTAGTATGTACTTTTGTTTTTATTTAACTGAGTAATTTTCATGAACTTTATTTTATCATTGTTAACCATGTTAGTTGTAAAGCGGTTGTAAAGAAACTACGAAATGACGATATCATCTCGCGAAATTTGTCTTCTTAATGCCTTGTTTAAATTTATCAAAGGGACTAATTGTTTTAATTTTAGTTTTTTGACATCACTTGATATACTTTTAAAATTCTTACACCAATTCATTTATTTGGTAACCTTTTAAAGGTTCTCTAGGATTCATCCACTTCAACTCTACCCTCTTAAACAAACCAAATCCCTACAAATCAACTCTTAAAATATTAATCTGACGCTCGCTAGTGACTGGCTACAGGACGGAGTTTCTTGAAGTTCGGCTCGGCTGAGAAGTCGTCACCAGTGTGGTGCATCTAGTTCGGAGTGAGGGCAAACGCCTGATGACGACATTGGCTGGTGCCAGTCGCGCTAAATGCATCACGAACTGCTAGAAGTTAAAATTATCGATCTGGCCACTGATTTGGGTCCCAGTGACTAAATGGTCTGTGAGCTAAGTGGACTTGTAGCTTGGTTTGGAACCTGGCGTTGATTGCCTATTTATGAAGAGTACCAAACTATACTAACGAAACAACTGTCTGGCAGTACTGCCTGCAGGTTTTCCAATGGTTCTCTAACTGATGTCAACTCATAATGATGAAATACTCCAACCAGTCAGACAAAACTCCCTACAAACCAATATTTGAATTCCATCAGTCAAGTCTGCCAGTCTACTTCAAACGAAGAACTGCACACATGAAACCGGTGTTTTTTAATCAAAATAGCCATGGCAGTTTTACAAGAGGTCAGTCACCAGTCCGATGACCTCAGTCTTAACCGCCTCTGACTGCAGCACTAAGTAAAAGAGATTTGGATCTCAGAAAGGACATGAATTCTTTCAAGGTTGCAGATACACCTTTCTCACTGGTAAGTGCGAATAAACACAAAACCTAGATCCAAAGCTTCCTGCCGATTGCCTTCAACCATCGAATAGCAATAATTTAGAATACACCACCACTTACCACCGTGGCTATATTTCACAGGCGACTGACAGAATTCATCCTGCACTAACACCAAGGTCTAGCTAGATGCATGACAGCAATTACACTACGCCTAGTATCCAAGCCAAAATAATCCAGGAAATGACCGTGATTCCCACATAATTGGTGGTGATTATGTAGCCAAGTTGAAGCGTTATTCAGAAGAAAATCGTACTGTCAACAAAGGTCAAATAATAAATAATCCTGTGCACTGGAGAAACAAAAAATAGTGAGAAATTCGAAAACTGATGATTTCATCAAAAGTTATCGATTTGAAACGTTTTTTTTTGTTAGAACTTACCGTTTTCGGATTACTCAATAGGGTAGCCAACATGAGTACATGAACTATAATAAACACTGTTATTGCAACTTCATACTGTGCAAAAAGAATAACATAATATTATATCATATTTAGTGAATTTTTAATCATTAAATTAGTACTAATTAAAGGGTTTATATGACTAGATAAGCTTATTTAAGCAGTACTCACCCACCACCAGGGTTCGGACCCAGGACCTTCTGGTTACAAGTCCAACGAGCTCGCAGACCATTAAGCCACTTAGACCTGACCCGATCCAGTGACCACCCCATGAATTCTAACTACTGCCAGTGTCTTCAGAGGCGACTGTTTGTCCTCACACCCGACCTACTGCACCCTACTGGTCACGACTTTCCACTAGAACCCCAGGTAACTGCCTACTTGAATAGTGCCAGTCACTAGTGAGCATCTCATTGATTTTCGAGTATTGGTTTTTAGGGATTTGATTGATTGGTTACAGGATTTCATCATGAGCTGACATTGGTTAGAGAACCATCGGAAAATCAACTAGGGAGTACTGCTAGACAGCCGTTTCATCAGCCGAGTTTGGGACTCTTATGCAAGGTACAAACAGTAGGGCCACCGGGCAATGCAGGTGCATCCAGTTGGCGAAAATAAAATCGATGAAAAAGGACATTCTTGGTTTTTCTTATGCTTGAAAAATGGGTAAAGTTAAAGAATGGCAATTCAAGCGGTGCAAACCCACAAGTGACCCATGGGCAACCACTTAAAATGACCAGTGTGCTGTTGCACATAAAAATGTCATTTACTTACTGGGAAATCAGGGGTAACAATTATGATCTCTCCCGGACTTCCCATGTCTTAGCGATCGCCACTAAAATATTCCGCCTGACATTTTACATTAAGAAGTTAAGGCACTCGAGTATAACTGAACCCCTGCTCTTACAGTTCATAAACTCTTCCATCATACCTATTCCTCTTTATTGTCCACCCCTGCTTATTCTTTCCTGGTTTGCTTAAAAAAGACTATGTCACTATTTGTAGAATACTGAAGACTGTCAGTAGGGTGAGTGGTGTCCCAGTGGACCACATAGTTAACACGTCGTTGTCGATAGGCACTTGACTTCGTGCAATTAATTTGCTAGAGGGATTTTGTCTGACTTGGAGCATCCACTACAGCACCCTCAGCTTTCACCTTGCATCTCCTCAGGTAGAACAAGAAGTAACTTCAGAAAACTGTATGCTCGCACGTCTAAGTATAGAAATTCTATGATACCATACTTGTCACGTATTTTATGTGATAGTGAAAATCGTGTCAGGCAACAACCTTTTTCATCTAGTAAATAAACAATTTCCTCCATCCATCCATCCATCCTTATATACCTTGAAGTGTTACTTTTATTATTTCTATTATATTTATGGTCCTGTTGCTTCTTTGTTTGTTTTACTCTCATAATTGCAAACACCAACTTATCTCCATGACTGCTGTAATCTTTGTTTTTCCCCTCACCATATTATCATGTAAAGAGAACATTATATTCAATATTTTTAAACATGTTAGGATCTCTATACCGCATTGACAATACTGTGTGAAACAAGCCCATGGTAATTTTCACTTATATTATTATTATTACCTTAGCTGGTATCATTATTATTATTATTTCCATTTCATAAGCTGCATGTTTCTGACATTACCCCTACTGTTAATGTGGAAAATGCTCTGTGTGGTCAATTTTTATTTAAAATTTGAGGAAATTAGACGCAATATTGTGATTAATGCTGAAAATTCCATTCTGTATCACAAGTACTGTTTCTGGAATAAAGTAAATCGTTATTATTATTGAACCTGTTTATTAGAAAAATACAGATAATGAAAGTATTTATTATCTATTGCATCTGCCCTCGCAGACTCACAGCACTTCTATACCATATCTTCTCATTTCTTTAGCCACCTGAGTAGCTTTCCCAACGGGTACATACATTTTACGTACATTCCATGTTACGATTCTTATTCTCGCTTTCATCGAGAGAAGACACATTGGCTGGCTAACTGGCTTCCTGAAGGTGGGCTTTCGCCAGCCCAGTGTGGTATTTCGCCCCTCCGATTCCAATGAAGAGTAAATTTATTTTTTTTTAATTTTTTTGTATTTTTAACATTTTTCATTGTGTGTTAAAGTTTTGTAGTAGTCTTAATGGTTTTGCGGGGTAGGGCTACTGGCCGCAAGCACAGTCCTCTTTCTTTTCCCGGGTTTGGCACTGGCTAGAAAACTAGCGAGTTAGCAAACTAGGTGAGGTTGAAAATATAAGAAAAACGCTCTGATCACAATCCTAGTCCTAATGACAATCCTAACCCTGGTCATACTCCAGCCCTAATGGGAACCTTAACCCTGATCGCAAAGCTAACCGTAATACCAACAAACTATCAACCCATTATCCAAACAGTACTTAAAAACGACATGGGAATGAAATCTGCACCACAATTCGTGCACAGCAACCAAAGTGACTGTATAATAAATGGAAGGTGCCGTTATCTAACGAAGTTAATGTTGCTTTTACACTCTTAGATCTCCATTCTTTGATTTGACCAAAAAATTAGCATACATATGTCCACCAAGAACAATAACCAGGGGAGATATCCAACCTTCAAGTATTGCTTAAAATCACAGAATGCAAATATTGAATATGTATATGTATAATCTAGCAATTGTGTTAACTTACCATGAGGAAAAATGTACTGCCTCGGTTATAAGCAACCAGGACACCGAAAGCGTACAAGCAAATAAATATTATAGTTATCGCCATCAACGTTAGAGTGATTGGTCCTGTATCACCAAATAAAAGAGAACAGAGATAAACACATGTGGAGAGATGATCATAAGGTAACTAATTGACTTCCTCCACTAAAAGTTATGGCCAGGTTATTGGATTTCGTCCGAATTGGTGAATGGTCAACAATTTCTCTTGCTAACATGAAGGTCCTGAGTTCCATCTCCCGTGAATGTGTTTATGTGTGTGTGGATGTGTGTGGTGATGAAGAGTCCGAAAGTAGGACAAAGCACCTGTCTAGTACTCCCTGTTGATCTTCAATGCTTCTCTTTAATGAAATCGATTCGTGACCAAATTCGAAACAAATCAAATACCTACAAGATAACACCTCATTCATCTTCTCACGGAATAATTAATGAGATGCTCACTAGCTACTGACCTTATTCAGATGGGTCTCTATTGGGTAGTCGTGACCAGTAAGGTGCAGCAGGTCAGGTTCGAGGAGAAATATTCGCCACCGAAGACATCAGCTACTGGTCGCGTTATGTCGTGAATTGGTAGAAGTTAGAATTTTTAGGCCATTAGATCGTGTCCCAGTGGCTTAATGGTCTACAAGCTCAGTAGTCTTGCAACCAGAAGGTCCTGGGTTTGAAACCCAGGTGGGGTTACCCACTGATGAAGGGTCCCAAACTAGGTTGACGAGATATCTGTCTGGCAGTACTTCCAGCTGGTTTTCCAATGGTTCTCTAACCGATGTCAGCTCATGATGAAATTCTGTAACCAATCACAGAAGTGTTCAAAATAAGTGAGCACTGAATACCTGTTTCGTCCTACTTTTAGAGTATTCATCCATGCTGCTCAATAGGGATTCTATGAACAGGGTCGACTAGTGAAGAACTCTACACTGAAATATTTTTAAATTGACTAGTTCTCTGAACAAATGTACTTCAACTGCTTCCAGTTTTCAGGAATAAGAAGTGAAATGGTTGAGCATTTTGACTAATAAATGTATTTTGAAAGTTGCATCAGCCGTAATCGACTGGTTGTTGGTGAAATCTCATCCGTCAACCTACTAAATCTTTCGTTCAGATGTGATATGATGCAATTATCAATCAAAGAGGGTGCGTAGTCTGCGACAGTCACTTTCATCCTTCTCCTTCATCACCATAAACTACCGGCGGTTACTTGAATTCTCTTCCAATACAATGCATGACAACTGCTCTAATTGTTATTTCGGTAACCATTAGATTATGTCCCTGAATTGTAAAATGTAGTCACGTACATTTTTGTTAACTGGCTTTCAGACTGCTTCTCCACGTGTCATGGAAATTGAGGAAAAGTGTCATAAGGGATTAGCCTATGCTTCATATCGAACAGTACTGCGTCACACAATATACTACCTGTTACTGTTCTACTGTGGAGATCGTGGATGAAGGAACAATGTATTACGCTGAGCATCCTGTACATTGTTTAGACCTTTTGTTCACAATAAGGCTACCGTTATTATTAAAGTTGAAGATATGAAAGAGGCGATCCTCTGTAATCTTTGAGGGCTGAATTCTATCACTCATATAAAAGGGCATAATGTGTTTAGTAATACTGACATCAGGCAAAGAGTGTTAGGTATAGAGGGAGTTTCAGTCGATTAGGCTGTTAAACTGAATAGACACGTGTGATGCATGCTTATTATTATTATTGTTCTTATTATTGTTTCTTTTAATTCCTAGAAGAACATAGGGCTTCAGCCAAACGTCTCCATTGCGTTCGGTTCTCTGCCAAGGTTTTCACCTGCCTCCACGTCTGCCCACATGCTTCCATCTCCTCTTCATATGACCTCCTTCATGTCTCCCTCGCACTGACAACCAACTAGCTACTCCCTATTCGGGTTCCACTCGAGCGATGGCCTGTCGTGTGATGTCACTCACTTGATGGTTTGTTTTCTCAGAGTATGGCCAATCCACCTTCATTTATTCCTGCTTATTTGTTTTACAGTCGATTCCTGCTAGGTTGGTTCGCTCATTGCCAGAGATCCCTATTGCTGATCCTTTCTGACCGGCTATCTGATCTTGTGTATTGAGAGAAGACAGATTTTGATGCAAGTCTGTAGTTTGTTCAAAGTGGCCTTCGTGACGCGGCGCCAAATTTCTGATCTGTATAGTAAATAGCACTGACATTGAAGTTGATAATCCAGGTCTTGTTTTTCATCCTGAGTGCTGTTGACTTCTGCACAGACTTGGGAGAAATGAAAGCTCGCCTTGCTTTCTCGAACCTCGCTTGGATATCCTCATCAGTTCCGTCCGCCTGTAGTTGAAATGATGCTTCCCAGGTAGGTAGGTGAGTAGGTAAAGGAGGCTGCTTCTTTCAGATTTCTCCCATTTATGCTGATGCATGCTTAGCCATTGTCTTTTACATCGAACAATGTTAGCTAAGAAAGGGTTGGACGAGTGGCTGGTGGTCAGATCTAAACCTGTCATCAATCTAAGAAGTCTTTGAAAGTTGTTTTAAGCCACTCAGGTTGGTTTGAACTGCTTAGTTGGGGTTCTTAGTATTCTAAGAACAGGTAACTGTTGAATGTTGGTGGTATAGCTTGAAATCATTCTCACTGGCGTTAATACATTCACTATGAATCATCTCCTAGACGCATTATTTCTCCATTATTCCCTATGTGATTTTTTGCCTCTATAATAGTTTGTTTGTATTACTTCCCTTTCTCTCTGTCTCTGCTTTCACGTGTGCGTTTATGAATTATAGCATGCTAAACTGGGTTCGAGCCTCGGTGGGAACATCATCAATCACTGAGAAATGCAGGTACATCCAGCTGGAGGACGAGTCCCAAATAGGACGAAATGCGCTTTATCCTGGATTCCACTGCTATTCACCATCCACCAATTAAATACTAATTAAATGCCCAGACATCGTCGAAGCATCTGCACAAGAAGTCAAGATGTCAACCTGAGACCGATCACTTCGGTTTAATCAATCGACTGGGAAAATCTAAAATTCAATTAGATAAGTTTTATTGTTGTTGGTAATATTTCAAAAATATGCACCAAAGAAAGCCTACATGGTATTATACGAAAGGCATTCACAATAGGAAGAGATATTGATGAAATAAAAGAAAAACTCATGATCTCAAAAACCACCAATAATACACAAATAACTAAAACCAATCGGATTGAATTTTTGATTTTCCCGTCGATTGATTGGACCGAAGTGATCGGTCTCAGGTTGACATCTTGACTTCTTGTGCAGATGCTTCGACGATGTCTGGGCATTTAATTAGTATTTAATTGGTGGATGGTGAATAGCAGTGGAATCCAGGATAAAGCGCATTTCATCCTATTTGGGACTCGCCCTCCAGCTGGATGTACCTGCATTTCTTGGGTCTAGTGGATAACGCTTTGGCGTTTGAAACTATGGGTACTGGGTTCGAGCCTCGGTGAGAACGTCATCACTCACTGAGAAATGCAGGTACATCCAGCTGGAGGACGAGTTCCAAATGGGACGAAATGCGCATCCTGGATTCCACTGCTAGTCACCATCCACCAGTTAAAACCAATTGGATTGTAAACATGTCAGACAGAAAGCTAACAGAAGAGCGGAGGAAAACGTACTGATGAAAGGGATGAACTTCAACATTAGCAACAAAAGATTAAAACGTGAAGATATTATACCTGTAATTGAAACAGCACTCGAAGGACATGAAAAGCAAAAAGCTGAACTGGTACGAGCACAATGTGTATTAACTTTAAAAATATCCAAAAAGCGAAAAAACTATATGTAATGAAGGAAGAACTAAAAGCACTTCAAGACATAAAAGCAGACAAAGGAAACACGGCAGTAATACTTTACAAAACAACATATAATGAAAGGATGAATGAATATCTGCAATCTGGACTCTAAACCATAATGACTAAATCAGCTGAAACAATTACAAACAAAAAAATGAAAGAAAAAGCAAAGGTTTTCGTTGTGGTTGTGTTCTCTGAGCTGGATATTTGATTTGCGAAGCTTTCATCACCCTACTAGGCAACATCTCTAGGGCATACTTCAATTTGAAGTGAGATTTTAGATTTCTCCACGAGTTTATTAATCATCTCTCCTGGTGACCTTGGACGTGATTGCTTGTTCTTGTGTGTTTTCACACCATCTAGGTTACTTGTATTAGGACTAATTGTCTCTTTGAATTGAACTTTGACCGTTTATGTGTGTGTATGATGTTTCTTTCTTATCGGTTAATAAATTTTGTCTATCTCGATGTGTCTATTGATTGACGATTCACCGGAATACCAGTCTGGCTTCTAAAAATTCTCTAGAATTTTTGGTGTTTCCTCTGTTAATTATTTGAACGTTGACTGTCCCAATCGAACCGACGTCCGTGGTTGTCTGTATGTAGTGGTATGAGGGAGTGGATATCATCTCTCTTGACGGCTAGCTTATGTTCGTGGATACGAAGACGAAGGAGACGTCCACTTTGGCCAATGTAATGTTTTTCGCAGTCGTTGTAACTTATTTTGTAGACGATGTTGGCTTTATCTTCATTCGTTGTTGAGTCTTTTGGTTGACATAGAACTAAGTAAAGCGACTTTGTTGGATTGCGTGCGATGTCAGTTTCTAAAGGTCTGAATAGTCTTGCAGTGATTTGTGAGATATCCTTTATATATGGTAGGGCGATTTTCTTTGTGTTTTCCTTGGGGGATTTTGGTTTGTTAGGTTGGCTTGGGAGTATATGTCTTTTGATGAAATTCCGTGGATATCCATTCTTTCAGAAGACGTCCATCAGATATCTTTCTTCAATTTTCCTTAAGGTGTGAGGACTGCAACGAGTCCTTGCCCTCTCGAATAATGTTTGTATGCAATTCCTTTTGTGTGTTATTGGATTGTTGCTGTTGTAATTCAGGATTTGTTCTAAATCCTGGCATTCCAGTGAATCATCAATCAACAGACACATCGAAATGGACAAAATTTACTACCAATCGATAAGAAAGAGACCTCACACACACACACACACACAAAGGGTCAAAGTTCAATTCAAAGAGACAATCAGTTCCAATACAAGTAACCTAGAAGGTGTGAAAACACACAAAAACAAGCAATCACGTCCAAGGTCACCAGGAGAGGTGATTAATAAACTCGTGGAGAAATCTGAAAGCTTACTTCAGACTGAAGTGTGCCCTGGAGATGTTGCCTAGTAGGGTGATGAAAGCTTCGCAAATCAACTATCCAGCTCAGAGAACACAGCCACATCAAAATCAATCACCTGAGCTACGAATCTTCTCTATCATATCTAAACAGCAAAAATTTGTTAGACATATGAAAGAAGTAAGTGGTAAGTCAAAATGGTTCGAAATATACCGAAATCGCGAAATATACTTAGGATATATGGCTAGATAAAATTGCATAAAGAAGGATATCCGTTTATAGAACGATTGTAGACTTTAGAAACACACCAACGTATATGCTATCAAGATTTCTCTCAACAATACTAAGACCAACAAGAGACAACTCAAAAGCTAGAATAGTAGATTCACTTGAATTAGTGAGACGACTAAAATATAGGAACAGGAAATAATGGTCAGCTTTGATGTAAACAGTCTCTATACTTAAATAGAAATAATGCAATTTACAAAACACCTTGTACCGAGTGTTCGACTAAGTACTTTTTTGGATTATAGCTTGATTCCACACGGTATTTTTGGTTCATGTGTGGAATTTTCAACATGCAATATCGGTAGTCCAAATTTTGCCAGCCGACTAACTGATATCAGGTGTGCGTCTGTAGGGGATCGAACCCCGGACCATTTGCATGGTCGGCGAGAGTTCTAACGTCTGTGCTACCGACGCATATACGTCCAGATCACTCAAAACAAGAGTGAATGAACATAAATAAAGATCATCCTACAGGAACACAAGCTTACAACAATTTAGAAGAAAATTCATCTATATCTGCACATCCATGGAACAAAAACCTTAATATCGATTGGAACAATGTTTGTATTCTGAAAACGAATGTGAACAAATGTAAATAGAGTCTAATAACAGAATCTACATTTATTAAGGTCACACCGCATGCATGTAACAAGGGTGACTTAGCAGCACAAATGTCAACAGCCTGGAATACACCAAAATGAATGGACAAAATCATAAATGTGTGAATTAAAAAGCAAAATAATTTCATATAGTTGGTTTTTAAGGATCATGGATTCATATCAGTTAAAGAACCATTGAAGAGCAGCCGGGAGTACTGGACAGCCAGCTGTTTCATCCTAGTTTGGGAATCATCGACAGTAAGCACTCACTGAGGTTCGAACTCAGGACCTTCCGGCTACAAGACAAGCTCGTATACCATTCAGCCACTGGGACCCGCCTCCCCAAAGGCCAGCCCATGATTTCTAACTTCTACGAATTCGTGATTTAGTGTGACCCCAACCAATGCCGTTGGTGGGACATCCATCCTCACACGTGGCATCTGGATGGACCTCACTGGTCACGACTTCTCACTAGAACTCCAGGAAACTCCACCCACCAATGGGTGTGGTCATGGGGTCAGTAATTTTGCTCGAAATAACACCAAAAAAAATCAAAAACTTATAGTTGTGTGTAAACCAGTGAAATATAATTATAAATTCCGAAATGGTGTCACGTTTGAATGCTAGACTCATAAACAGTTTTTTCTTTGGCACTGTGGTTTGTCTAGGGGCGGATTCTTTCTTGATGTTACGTTCAATGAACCTTGTAGGATAACCATTGTTAAGGAGATTTGATCGAAGGTTATCTAGTTCCCTATCGATTGTCTCTGTCGAGCAGATTTTACGAATTCTGGAGCATAAGGAATGAATAAGATTTCTCTTTCTCCCTAAAGCTACCCAACTGTTGAAGTTAGTGTACTGCCCAGTGAATGTTGGCTTTCGATAAATCGACCTTAACAGCGTATCATTCTCTCTTCTATCTAGCTTAACATCAAGAAAGTGAAACGAGGAGTTCGACTCTTCTTCGACCGTGAAAAGCAAAGATGGGTGAGAACCGTTAGCTATACCAATAAGTTCGGCAGTTGAAGAGTTTTCATCACATACAATGAAGGTATCATCAATATATCTTTTATACATGGCCCACTAAAGGAAACCATTGATAGTTTGTTTATGTATAAAAGATATATTGATGATACCTTCATTGTATGTGATGAAAACTCTTCAACTGCCGAACTTATTGGTATAGCTAACGGTTCTCACCCATCTTTGCTTTTCACGGTCGAAGAAGAGTCGAACTCCTCGTTTCACTTTCTTGATGTTAAGCTAGATAGAAGAGAGAATGATACGCTGTTAAGGTCGATTTATCGAAAGCCAACATTCACTGGGCAGTACACTAACTTCAACAGTTGGGTAGCTTTAGGGAGAAAGAGAAATCTTATTCATTCCTTATGCTCCAGAATTCGTAAAATCTGCTCGACAGAGACAATCGATAGGGAACTAGATAACCTTCGATCAAATCTCCTTAACAATGGTTATCCTACAAGGTTCATTGAACGTAACATCAAGAAAGAATCCGCCCCTAGACAAATCACAGTGCCAAAGAAATATAATTATACTCTTTTTGACTAAAATAATAACAATAAAAAGACAACACTCACGTGCAAAATGTCTTAGCACACGATTCACACTATCAGTTACTGTTGAATTGCTGAGATCACCGTCAACTTTCAAATTCTTCAGTGTAGGCTGTAGGGCTAATACTGCTATTTTCGTCCAGAATATAATAGCAAACAGTATAAATGCAATTATACAAATTAACTGAGATAAAATTAAAAAATTAAAAAAAGAAAGAAAAACAATTTTATTATAATATTTTAGTAAAGGCATGACGACAATAAACACTGTGAAGGTGGGTGTGGGAAGGCTGAGTACTGAATTCAATGCCTGAATAAAGCAAGAGCAACAGTGTGGTTTGTGCAGAATAAAATGATGGTTCCATCATTATGAACACAATTTTCAGCGGAGAGACTCTTTTCAACAACGAATTTATTATCAAGCTGTAAAATCGTATATGTATATGGTTTTATAAAGAAATTATGTCCGGTGAGGGAATTAGCTCAAAGGTGTGAGTTCATTAAATAATAATAATAATAGTAGTATGAAAGGCAAGTAAAATATTTGTGATTATAATCATAGTTTAATGCCAAGTGGCAAAGTAATTAATGTCATATATAGAATAATACATAAAACGGGTGTATAGATGTTGGAAGGAGGTACATAATTATAGGATTAGTAGGCGAATATGAAATGTTACATAACATGGTGTAAAATTTGATAAGATAGAATTCAGCATTGTAAAAAAATAATAATTCTGGATTTAGAATAACAAGTGAGACAAGGGGGAACAATTCAGAGTGGGAATAGTAATAATAATAATCGTAGTAATAAGAGAAAAGTACATAGAATAACTAAATAAACAAAATAAATAAATGTCTGTCTCTTTACAGTCAAGGCAGAAGTAGAGATTGTACATACTTATTTTGTGCACAAAGCTGTGTCTGGCTTAAAGTCACGAATTGCCAAGGCCTCAGCTGTCTTTAGAAGTCTGTAACGAAGAAAACGCAGGAAGTTAGCGTGGATTCTATATATGATCATGAAATCATGGTGAGGGTTGACCGAGTGACAGAAGTCAATCAGGTGTTCCAAAATAGAGCTTCGCACACACTTCCTTTCTCCCTTGTGAAACTATGCTGGAATATGTTCTCGTATCCGTGAAGAAAGCGTCCTCTGAATACAGCCAATGTACCTTGCTCCACAAGAGCAGATGAACTGATAGATGCACATGGAAGAGGCCAGACGGGGGAGCTTATCTTTTACAGAGGTAGAGAACAATTCCCTGCTCGTGAACGTCATATGTAATCTAGCTGCAGGAAACGTCTTACTAACTGATTTAGAGTGACGATTTTTGAGCATATCTGAAACTTGATTACCTTTGAATTCCAACTTCATGAACAAGGTTTTCTTTGGAACTGAAACGGTGACCAGTTTCGACTGCTTATCTTTCATGTTACTGTCAATAAATCGGTTAGGGTGACCGTTTTCTACGAGTGTGGCTTTCAAGAAGTCAAGTTCTGAGTCAACGCAATCAGAACTACAAATTTTCCTTGAATTCCTTTTCCTGGAAATAGGCACCCAACTTGTCCGTTCCATGTACGTTTCCGGTGGGTTCCATCATTGTTTGTTTTGGTCGGCTTCTCATCAGCTCAGCTGCTTGCTTACAGCCTAAATAAATTATTATTAAATTCATGTACAGAAATGTTTTTATACGATGCCAGTTGACAGGGGGTTCCGGGCTTAGTAAACACTGCTCAGAAAATGCGCCTATATAGTTTTTCCACAGGCAGTTCAAGTTTAAACAAAAATAAATGTATGCATACAATGGTAAGGGAGTCATGTAATAAAGACGAGAGATACGTAAGATGGCGAATAACTAATAAAATGAGAAACTGTGTGCTAAGTTCAACTCAAATCATAGAAACAAGAGACAGGAGAAATGCACAATATCAAAGAGGAATGAGGTTAAATTTTGATAGCATTATTAGAAGACGGAGATTATCTCAAATTGTTATGTGATGTATTTGCACTATACATTTCGAACATTCTGATCACACATTTACTTGTCAAGTCAATATATATGGAGAAGTTAAATTAAACAAAGTGACAAAAAAAGAATGATTTAAGAATGAATGACAAGTAGATGGCGTTGCTATGGGAAGTTCATTACGACCTCTGTTAGCGGACGTCTACATGTCTTATGTTGAAAACTTATCCTTTGATTTAATTTCTAAATTGCCCTTCTATAAAAGATATGTAGATGATATCATTTTGATATGCAGCTATCATGAAGATGCGAGTCGTCTATTAAACAGGCTTAACTCTGTACAGAATCATATTAGTCTTACATGTGAGGAAGAAAGTCGCGACCAGCTTGCATTTTTAGACATACTTCTGAGATGTTGAAGAGATGATGGCTCAATAAGACGGTCTATCTACAGAAAGCCCACTTGAACAGGGCAATTCCTTAATTTTCACAGTTTCTGTCCATTACAGTATAAAAGAGGCTATTTAAGAGGATTCAACGTACTTGTACAGCTGATGTTATAGACAAAGAAAACGAAATATTGATGGATACTCTTGTTGAAAATGGATACCCTTTAAAATTTTTAAACTGGTGTAAAAGTCAACTAGTCTCTAAACCTACAATCCATACCGTCCCTAAGAAAAAGGTTTTCATCAAATTACCATATAACAGGGAAATAAACACTAGGATTTTGAGACAAAAGTTGAATTCGATCATCCGTAGAACCTACTATGCAGCTCAGACTGTAATTGTGGAAAAAGCCAAAAGTATGCTTCACTGCGAACCTCAAAAGTGCACAAGTGATTATATCCCATCCCACATAATTTACCAATTTTCGTGTGTGTGTGTGTGGACATAAATACATAGGGAGGAGTAATCGCGCTTTGCACATGAGAGTGGGAGAGCATATCCCGAAATGGTTAGAAAAACAGATGAATTATGACAAGCCAATAGATGCAGGTGTCAGACTACCAACTTCATCTATAGCTAAACATCTGATCGAGATGAACCATAAAATCGGTGTCAACTCGGCCTTTAAGGTCATCTATAAAAACGGTCAAGGGCGTTTACTGAAATACGCTGAGGCTATAGCTATTCATGGACTTAAGCCCCCCTTGTGTATTCAAAAACAGTTTGTCATTACTCTTAACCTACCTTGGTAATCCTTATTTGATTGAATTACCAAACGTTTGTGTTAATTATTCTAAATTCCTTTTTCTCTCACTTTGTTTGATTTGCCTTTTATATATATATATACTGACTTGACAAGTAAATGTGTGATCAGATTGTTCGAAATGTATAGTGCAAATATATCACATAACATTTTGAGATAATCCCCATCTTCTAATAATGTTATCCAAATTTATAAAAGGTACTAATTGTTTTAAATGAGGTTAAAGCCAAAAATTATACAATCAAAGGAAAAAGAGAGAGTGGAGAAATCCATTTATCAAGATGGGCAAGAAAAGACTGATAACTGCTTCTTTCTCAACACATAAATCGAGTTTCAAGCATCTGATAGTCGTTTCTTCAGCACACTTGAGGAGAATCGGGCTTTGTTGTCTATCGATAATTTTGAACGATCTTACAACGTCCACCTTGTGACCCGTATATCAAAGAGATGCTTGGCAATGTCACAGTTGAAGGCATTTGTTCCTCTTTCGATACATGTTCAGAAAATCGGAGGTGTGCCCTTCTTTCTGTTCTCCGAGTGTAACTGCTTCCGCAGATACAGATAAATTCGTATACACAGTTGTAGTTAATATAAGAATGATATCTGTCGACTTCTGACCAGACCAAAAAGTATGTTCTGCGATGGTACCATATTATTCTGCAAAAACTGTTGTTCTTGCTTTGTTCAAATTCATGAAGGAAAATAAATGTAGGAAGAACTCAATATCGTCTGGTGTATGCTTTAAACCCTTCATATACGGACTCATTTAAGAATCTTTGTACATCTGAATGGTTTAATAAATCACTACAGAATATAAACAATTTGATATCGTGTTTAGTCGTACAGTCAACAACAAAATGAATGCACACTATAGGATTTTTTAGCGACCTGGATTGATTTCATTGCAGATATCATGACAAATCATGGAAATCAGTTAGAGAATCATTGAAAACGAAAAAGCACTGAAGAGCTGTTTTTCATCCCAACTCGGGATTCTCCAGTCATTCAGTGGCTGTGCGTCGGTGGCACAGTGGTTAGAACTCTCACCGACCATGCACACGGTCCGAGGTTCGATCCCCTGCCGACGAACGCCTGATATCTATGGTCGGCCTGCAAAATTTAGGCTACCGATATCACATGCTGAAAATTCCATACTTGTACCAAAAATACAGTATGGAATCAAGCCGTAATAAAAAAAATTCATACCCACAACACAACCAGGGGTTTTCAGATTGTGAGGCCTAGATTGTTGATTATGTGGCAGCTTGAGTCAGAACTTAATGATCTCTGTATCCAAATGTTGTCATTTCGTGGCCACGATTTCTTGTTGGGAGTGTGGGACATCCAGTCAGTAGTTACCAATGAGCTGGGGACTGATATTTAGATTATAGATTTTGTTACCTGAAGGTGTCGGGTCCAATCTCTGATGGAGTCAAGAGTACTAGCTGTCGAAGGGTACAAAATTACGGTGAAACAGCCACCCAGTACGAACTGATCTTCAGTGATTCTCTAACAAAATATACAATGAAACCAAATAGGCGTCATCGCATATACACAACACTAGATCGCATACAGGGCTTCTGCTTTCGTTGGAGGATCGGTGTTCACTGGAAGGCAGTTCTGTATGTCCTGTTGGCTGTGGTGGTGTATTTCTGGGCGAGTTGAAGGTAATGGTCGACTCAGGAGTCCTTTAAAGTGATCAGCTCGTCGTCTGATTTGTTTGTCTTCCTTGGTGATCAGGTTTCTTTGAGCATCTTTTATTGGTTTCATCCTCTAAGTTGATCTGTTACCGCATAGAGACTTGGTTATCTGATATAATGTCCTTAGGTCTCTTTTACCTGAGATCTGCCTGTTCTGCTTCAGTTGCTGGCCAGTATGACGTAGAATTATCTTTTGTCTTTCCTAGCACTCTTCTTTGCTGCTTTTTTCAGTGCAGTGTACAATGAACTAAGCTCCTCCTTCTATTTTCCATCTTTGCATTGAGTCACCTCTATCACCACCCCCTCTCCTCTCTTTTATCACCCTTCAGGTAGATGTACACTGAGAGCCATTCTTTGTCGTGTATCTTCTTTATTCCTAGAACAGTTGTACACGTTTCCTTGAACACCACCTTCAGAGAGTTAGTTCCAATGTTCTTCCACGCTGGTTTCCTCAATGATGCCAAGTAGTGTCTCTGGCTTGGCTCTGATATCTGTAATGAAGTTTTTCTTTTCATTGGTTGCAGGATTATATCATGAGTAGACATTATATAGAGAACCATTGGAAAACTTGGAGGGAGTACAGTCAGACAGTTGTTTCTTTAGTCTAGTTTGGAACTCTTCAGAAGTTAGCACTAATCCCTCTGACAGGGCTTTAACCCAGGACCTTCTGGTTACAAGTCGGGCTAGCTCGTGGACCATTTATCAGCCACTGGGACCCGATCCAATGACCAGCTCACGAATTCTAACTCCTGCCAATTTACGACATAGCGTGATCACTTCGTAATGTCTTCCTCGACGAGTTGCTGCCTCACCTTTAACCTGCTGTACCCTACTGGCCACGGCTTCTCACCAGGACCCCAGGTAACAGCCTGCATAGGGTCAGTAGTTGGTGAGCAACACAGAAGATTTGGGGTCAGAACCCTAGTGGTGGATGCTTACTGATGAAAAGTTCCAGACTGGACTTACAAGACAGCTGTCCAGTACTACCAGCTTGTTATCCAATGGTTCTCTAACTGATGTCAGCTCATGAATAAATCCTCCAACCAATCAAACAAAATCCTTACAAAACCAATATTTTTCTTTTTAGTTTCGTCCTTTAGTTTATGAATATTGAACTTGAACTACAGTGGCCTGTCTCCAGTTGTTTTCAGGTATTACGCCTTCACCTTGAAGGTTCCCAAAACTTTATGATCGTATCGGCTCAAGTCTGATCCCCTTCTCGACTTTGTGTCCGACAGGCTGGCTGCGTCTCTACTTCCTTGAGCAGCATTGGGATGATATCTATCTGGTATATGGTGTGTTCGTCAGGCGGAATCAATGTTCCTTTCCATTACGCCATATAATCACGTGGTATTAATACCCGAATTTATGATCAGTAGACCGAATATGTGAATGTTTTGTACTATATTGAGATTAAACTATTTATGCTTGTAATAATAATGGTAAAGCTTTATTTAAGACAGTATGCGAATATACGGTACAAAAATTTTCAGCGTATTCAGTTCCAAAGAACTTTTTTCTTTACACAGGATTCACATGTAAAGTAATAATCTGAAGTATATCTTCATTTCGCTGAAGAATTGTACAGCGTTTACTTGGGAGCAAGTTAAATCATCGCGCAAGTTTGTGTAAAGGTCATTTGATATAAATGAACGATTAAAACAATGATAAATCCAGATGAAATTAAGCATTCTGGAAGAAAGTAATTTTGGTGGCCCAATGATTTAAGCAGGCCGCCTTATTCAACTGACGAGATCAAACGAAATATAATGACGTCATTTCACCAACCAGTCTGAACGATAGGTCACTCAGTGTCCAGTTCAGTTTAATCCTCTTATCGATCAAAGAAATCAATCAGCTGCACCATACCTATACACACAATCATTTCAAACATTCATAACACCAATAAATTCTAGTATTTTTCTAAAAATTTCATAATATGCTCCTATTCTGTATACAGCTGCACAGCTGAAACAAAGATATTACAGACGTCAAAAAGTTCGATACGCATGTTCACAAGTAAACTTCAATTATTTATTTATTTATTAATTGATTTATTGATTTTGCATTTGAGATCATTTAGATTCAGCGGATGGAAATTCAATCAATCACATAAAATGACGTCATATATTATGCTAGAAACTCTCTTCTTTCTATTCAGTTACTCTGAATGCCTCCATGTTGGTCTCAATGTGGAATGGGATACTTGCCACACACACATACAAACACAAGCTTTATGCATTTTCCAGCAGTGATACTGGATTTACATGTAAAATAATAATAATCTGAAGCGTATCATGTGGTATTGCATATGAAGAGACAACCAATTCTCTATATATTTCCATCAAGAATTGAACAGCGTTTTATTGAAAGCTAATTAAATATATGCACGCGAATTCATATGAAGGTCACCTGACATAATTGTTTGATTAAAACAATAAGAAGTCTAGAATAGTTTAAGCATTTTAATGAATGGAAATACTGGTTGCCGAGTGATTTAAGCAAGACGCTGTAGACAGGGACACACACCTTGGAGATTTCTACATTTCACAAGCTAATTCACAAAATACATAGCAGAATATTCTTTCAGATCACACAATTTGTGGGGATTTTGGATAGATTTCAACTGTCAGAAATTCCATATTAGTTTGTTTATTAGATGTATCACACAGTCACTGAAACAGTATTATTATTCACTGGATAACACAGTTTCGAATACAATTGGTTACTGTTCATAATCATACCATCAATTATAATCACATGACTTCGAAACTTGAGTTTTATAGTTTCCTTTGTCCTCTCCTATTTATCGTCGTTGGGAAAGCAGAATTTTCCAGATATCTGGCTGGATAGGTGTTGAATCATTCCTATTACAAGAACTCTCTTCAGTTGATTTGCTAAACAAAATTTCTGTTATCAATCTCTCCCTCCACCCTGTTACATTAGATTTCAAAACTGCCATCCCATCCTATTGTATGGTTTTGTGCCATAGCATTACATGCAATCACACACAACCATACAGTAGGCTGGATGGGATAAGATGACAGTGTTAAAACCTAATGTCACAAGGTGCAGGGAGAGATTGATAACAGAAATTTTGTTTAGCAAATCAACTGAAGAGAGTTCTTGTAATAGGAATGATTCAACACCTATCCAGCCAGATATCTGGAAAATTCTGCTTTCCCAACGACGACAAATAGGAGAGGACAAAGGAAACTATAAAACTCTAGTTTCAAAGTCGTGTGATTATAATTGATGAGATGAATATGAACAGTAATAAATTGTGTTTGAAACTGTGTCATCCAGTAAATAATAATACTGTTTCAGTGACTGTGTGATACATCTAATAAACAAACTAATATGGAATTACTTGCTACCGTAGTGTCCAAGTTTTATACATATTTCAACTGTCAGGTTCTTGTTAGGAACCAACCTGTGATTTGAATATCAATCGCCATCTCACTGATGTCTACTCGATTGATTTCCTGAAACTGTAGTGGGAAGTCGTCACCAGTCAGGTCTATCATTGTCAAAGTAGGTGTGACCGTTATATCATGAGTTGGCAAAGTTAGAATCCAGGGGTAGTTTAATAATCAACGAGCTTGGTCTCATCACCTGCAAGTCAACGGTTTGATACCCAGTGGGTTTATGGTGACGCACTGATGTAGAGTTTGGGAATAGGATGAAACATCTGTCCAGTGCGCCCTGGTTTTCAATGATCTTTCTAACTAATGTTGACTCATAACGAAAATATAACAACTGCAATTACTTTTTGTCCGAATTCACATTATTAGTTTTCAAAAAATTATATACATGCACAATATTGTACAGCCTGATAATGAACTTATGGAAAAGAGACTTTTCTCTGACTCAGTGTAACAACAGAAGACAAGGGCTGGCAACAGATCGATTTATTACGAAAATCAACACGTATTTATATATATTTTATGTGCATTAATAAGGCTTATGCAAGCAGAAAAAGGCAGTCTTCTGATTGGTTGTTTCTCGGAAGTTAAGCAGACAAACACAGTCTTATGATTGGTTGTTTTCGATATTTCTCGGAAAGTAGAGCCATCTATCTGCGAATCATATTTGTCCACATTTAAGTTTGCTGTGATTGGTTGTTGAAACAGCCTTGTTCATATTTTCTCACGGCCCATATTAGTGACCTAGACATTAACGTAGATTAGTGCCAACCAATCGGCTAGCAGCCTGCTCTCACCACATCAGTATTTTACTTCACTAAGCCAGTAATAAGACTGGTAAAGAGAGAAAGTTGGGTATGAGGCTGGCTAGCAACCTCATCCCGTAAAAACAAACACCACTGCTACCGAAACTATAAGCCTCTAGCATGGAGTCTTATGTTGCACTGGGAAGGTAAATGGATACCACCAATACAGTGTTTAATCTACTTTCTTGTCGCCACCGGTCAGTACCGATTCGTGGTTTTAATGAGGACAAACAGTGAAGTGGTTGAGTATGCCCGCCAATGATACATATTTAACTTGTATCTACACTCAATTTTTTATTGATTTTTACAAAGAAAAATTAGATTATCTTTGCGGTGGCCTTGGATTTGCAGAAGGAAGACCTAGATGGGTTAACTGGTGTAATTATATTTAACGAACAATGATGCCATCACATGGCAGCTTGCCATTAACTGTGGTGATCTGATGACCCAATTAGCAACCAAGTCTTAAAGATTAGTAGCTAACTGGTGTTACGCAAATACACTGATCCATAAACCGCATGTCTAAATCCACCCATCTCCTAGGTCTTTCCTTCACTACCCAGCTGATGAGTCGCAAGTCGGACGAAGCACTGCTAGTCACCGCCTGACACTTAAGATCAAAATAAAGGACGGTTACAACCCTACTTGTGTATGTGTTTTTTAACCTCATCTAAGCGAATTTAAACAAATGCGTTGTTCAACGGTTTCAATATCAGTTATCTGTTGTTTATTTCACAAGATTATTATTATTATTTGAAATTCAATTAATTCAAAAAATTCATAAACAAGGAAAATTATACAACAAAAATTTAAAGTGAAAGCAAGAATAAATATTGATTTTTTTTAATAAAATACTTTATCACTTACTAAACATATAATGTTTAAAACCCTAAAGACTGTACGCACAGTGGAATGCATTTGGCGATGATTTTCTGTAAATATATTTAAACAAAAAATCAATAAATCAATAAACTGAATCGATACATCATATTATATATATATATATATATATATATATATATATAGTACGTGTAATAGGTAATGATTGAAGGTAAAATGAACATCTCCTTAGCTTCACGATCCCAAGCTACAGCCTGAGAATTACCAGCACAACACTCTAGAAACTGAATTACAAGAGCCAACTTCTGAATAGGCCAACAGTTCACTGTCATTTGAACATTTCATAGGTAACTGTCTGTTCATAGTGCGTCGGTGGCGCAGCGATAGAATGCTCGCCAACCACGCCTCACATGGTCTGGGGTTCGATCCCCGGCCACCAACACACTCCTTTACCTCACTAAATCAATAATAAGACTGGTAAAGAGGGAAGGTTGGGCATGAGGCTGGCTAGCAGCCTACTCCCGTAAACCTAAACACCACTGTTACCGAAACTTCAAACCTATAGCGTGGAGTCCTATTTTCTGCTGGGAATGTAAAGGAATTTAAAAAACTACCTATATATTAGTCGTCAAAGACCATCAGTCATCACCTGTCAACCCTCAAGTTGACATAAGAAGATACACACCAACTTTAGTGACTGGATTTTGAGAATGAAAGGACTTATCTAGCGTTTTGAAGGAGTGACCAATAGTGAACAAAGAGTGTTTTCAGAGTGTACCGTGATGGCAAGCCAACTAGAATGCTGGCCATATTGCAAACTTGACTGATAGAATTCAAAAGAATGGATACTGAACAAAGAATACTCTTCTCGATAACCCCTTCATCATCCGGCTCTACAGTTATATATACATTATAGTGAATGAATGAATTAGTCTTATGAACAACATTAATGTTGCTGTTTAAATAACATCGAATCAATAATCACATTGATAGATTACAGCTCAATAGCATAGCATCAACATAAAATAAGCTGAATGTCAGAAAAATTTGGAAAGATAATATTACAAATTCATGAGTTTATAGTTTCTACTGAAGGCCAGGGCAGTTGTAGGGGATAGACTTGCTTCTTTTTCACACAGAACATTGGATGTTTGAGGCGAATCGCAACAGCCTTTGCTGTTTGAAGCATGTGGTGCTTCGATGATTTTGGTGATTTATTAGGCACCCGGTAGATGATGATAGACAGGGATTCTTCCACGCTGGCTGGCTTTGTGGCTGGCTTGCACCAGATGGTCCAATATCGAACTGTTGATGGATTTTACTGCGCCCTTGCTTAGCCATACTGGGAGATATTCTCGAGCACGAAAAGTCAAGTTCCTAGAGCAACGCCCGATATAACTCGCTCTGCTACAAGCGCAGTTGAATTGGTAGGTACAATTTGAAGTGACTAGCTAGTCTAGGTACTTCATCTTTCAGTCGAGGTAGCACCATCGGTCGTGTAGAGAATAAGACGTGTAGTTCGCCAGCATTAAAAGTTCTTCGAAATGATTTTCTTAATCTCCTTGTAATTATCTCACTTGGTATATCGCCCATGAATTGTAGTCAAACATAAAGTGGTTTCTTGTTTACAAATAGTGAGTGGTCTTTTTCCTCTTTCTTTGTCATGTGTTTCTTGATAAAGTTTTCGGGATAGCTATTTTCGATCAAAGTATCATATACAATGCTTAATTCATCTTCAATTCCTTCTTCTGAGCATATAGCTCTAACTCTGTGGCTGAGGGTCTTCACTAAATTTCTTTTGTACTTGATAGGAACGAAGCTGTAAAAATGTGTGTATTGTTCTGTCGAAGTGCTCTTTCTATGCAAATTTCCTTTTATGCTACCATCTGGTTTTCTTGTAAGTACGACGTCCAGGAAGGCAATTCTGTCTTGGGATTGTTCTTCGCATGTGAATTTCATAGCTGAATGTACTTCATTGAATTCAGTAATTATTATACTTCTATCAGAACCATTATCACAAAGAATAAAGGTATCATCCATATATCGGCAATAAAATGAGAGCTTACTGATAAGGTTGTGCAGAGGTCCATTGTTTAGCTTACTTAGAAAGAAATCAGCCAGAATGGGACCCGATGGGGAGCCCATCACCACCCCGTCCACTTGTTTGTAAAGCTTGCCGTCAAATTTGAAGTTTACATTCTTGGTATATCTTAATATCAATTCTTTTAGGATTTCAGTATGGATGCGAATGTTTATTGACTGGCTAATCACTTGTTCACATATGTAGTGAATTGTTCCTTTTAGAGGTACATTTTTGAATAACGATGTTATGTCCAGAGATATCATGGTTTTGTCTTCGATATTAATATCTCTTATTTTGTCTACGAATTCAAATACATCTTTGATGCTATATTTCACTATCTTATCATGCAAAGGTTTGAGAATATTTACTAACCATCTAGCTAGAGCATGGTAGGACGAATTTCAATCTACACCAAACTAAGGACTGGACACACTACACTAGTCACTGACCAGTTTCCAATCAAGGAACATTCTTTTTGATATCTCTCTCATAAGGTTCTACAGTTACAGATCTATATTATTATTAATAGAATCATTTAATGTTTTTTTTAAAAACACGAAATCAATAATCTCGATAGATTCCAGTTCAAAAACATCTGTCAGTGATAATATGCATCACTCTGACAATGAATTGAATACCAGCTAGATACAGAATTCATAAGTTCCACAGGCATCCAAGGTAGGTAGCAATATTAGCTGAACCTGTTTCTTTCCTATACAAAGTTCCGGCTGTCTTAAGTGAACTGCGATGACCTCGACTGTTTAAAGTATTCAGCAACTAGAGGCCTTCGTTAGTTTATTTGAAACTTGATTTTTTTCTCACTCCTTCACATTGCCAGTGGAAGCCACGACTTCAAGCTAGAGGCCTGAAGTTTCTGTGGCACTGGTGATTATTTTTACAGGATAGGGTTACTAGCCTCAGGCTCAACCTTTTCCTTTTTACTAGCTTTATTTTTATTACTCGCTTAGCTAGGAAAAAGGAGTGCGTCGGTGGCCGGGGATCGAACCCCAGACCATGTGAGGCGTGGTCGGCGAACATTCTACCACTGTGCCACCAACGCAGTGAGACTTGATAGATAAGGGAAAGTGATTCTTCACTACTGGGCCTTATCGTCTGTTTCAAACAGTTGTTCCAGTATTGAGCTGTCAATGGTCTTTACTCTAAACGACAGAAGCCATTGCAACACGCTTAAATCAGCCGCAGCCCTAAATGTAAAAGAAAAAAGTTCAACCACCACTGCTACTCTGACCTCCTGCTGAACCTTTAAATTCATAAATTTTTGGTATTATTTCCCTTAATTCATCTGAGGTTGAGTTTAGTGTCATATTGATTTGTAATTTATTGATCATGATCACTGTCGTCAATAACAGTTACTCTTCAAATATTAGATATATATAGCTGCAGAAGTGGTCGTCGACGATTCGACAATAGAATACTAGCCAACAACGCAAGTGGTTCGGGATTCCATCCCCGGCTGACACACTCCTCCACCTTGCTTAGACAGTAGTACGGCTGGGAAACAGGGAAGGTTTAGAGTGATACTAGCAACCCCACACCCCTGTTACTGCAACTTCAAAAGTTCACAGCATAAAGACCTATGTTCCACTCGGGACACAAAGGGATAAAATATACAAATGAAATAAAATAAAACTGTAGGACGAGATCAAGAAGTTTTCGCAAAGAGTCAGTCTTTGTTCGGTCCTTATTTCTCTATTGATTTAACAGTTCTCAGTGTGGACACTTCGACTATGGCTTGCAACTAGTCTAAGCATAGACTTGACACATTTCAACACACCTTTGAATGGCTTGCCATGTGAAAGTTTGAAAATCTCCCACCCGCTCGCTCTGCAAATCGCTAGCTGAAAATTTCACACACACACACACACGCACACATACACACAACCGCACCATCATCAAACACTTTTATAAGATTCATGAACGAGTTATCGACATACTGGTGGTATGCACGTCGTCTTGAAAATAAATGACTTCAATCTTTCAGATCAATTCGATTTCGCCTTTGTACAGAAAATATCATTCACAGTTATCTTTTATTCCAATAAAATTCATGATTTTCCCTAATGACTAATGGGATTCATCACTAAGATTACAACCTATAGAATCCTTTATGAGGGTGGCATATTCTGTGAAGAGAGCTTAGGCTGTTTAACTGCTGTGTAGCATAGCTGATCCTCAGTTCAGTGGGGTTTTTTGACATTATTGAAACAGATAACCCTAGTTAGGTTAAAAACCGGGGATGTATTGATTTTTTATTTATCTATTGTGTACACTAAGTAATAGTGCGACCAGAGAAGACAAGAGACTTGGTAACAGACTTTTTTATTAGAGGAGGACATACCATATTTATACATTTATAGCCACATTTAAAGCCTGCTAGGCCAGTGTATAGTAAACTGCTCTGATTGGCTGTTGATTCTCTTAAGGTTAAGCCTTGAGAAAAGCAGTCATCCAACGAGGTTATTTCCTGACCACAACGTAAACTAAATCCATACTTTAGGAATAAACACTCCTGCTTCTGTAGCTACTGGCTTAAAATGTTGTTTTCAGTTTTGCCTACTTCTTATGAATCTGCGTGTATATACTACTGACAAACCTTGTTAGTAGCACACTTCACAGCAGTAGTATAGCTTATAAAAATAAAAATAAATTTTGGGACACTGTGCTAGGAGACTAGTGTTTATTTATTGGCTATTGACTGAAGGCATAATTCAAATCTGGATCATGTCAAGATTGGAATGGAGCAACCTCTGGATTCCAAGAACAGTGCTCCCCCCCCCTCTTTCAATCGGTTGAGTTAGAATACCGTGAAATTTTTCCTGTCAGTAAATATACCTGAACTCTGGCACCATGGAGGCATGTTTAAACGGCTGTGAGCTACTTAAATTTCTATAGAACATCATGTTGTGTATCCACTTTCCTCCGTTTCTTGTCGGCTTATCCTACCTATCACGTCTTTGAACCGTTACTTCAGCCC